TCATTGAGAGAAGTCGACGTCAACCAGCAGCTTCACCGGGTAAAGCTAATCGTCACGGCTAATGACAAGCTAGTGTATAGATATCCATGTCATGCGAAAGACAGTCTAAGACAGTCTCATATTCCACCTTTACCGGTTAACTTCAAACTTAAGCGTCGTGGTTCGTCCGCGGTTTTTATGGGCTATATTCGAAACGTAACTGGTGCTAAATAAATGTCTCGTTGCTACTAGAAGTAGCTACATCAAATTTTGAATTTTGTTCAATACATTTTTCCCCATTGTTATCTTTAAATTCAGTTTGGAATGTAAACGTGGACGTCCAGCCATCCCAGTTGACAATTGGGGCTTTAAATAGCAACAATAACACAACCTCCCCTTTGTTCACCTGAATGTCCCCCTTTATTTCTGCCTGAAGCAATTTGAAAGAAACAAAGGACATTTTAACAGTGAGCTACCCCAATCCTGGTTATAGAAGTTACTACTTAAATTACCACAATGTAATAAACATTTTATGTGTAAATGCACCATGTATGCTTGCAATAACAATGTGATTGAACTATTTATCGCGGTATAGATCGTTAGGTTGGGCATCTGTGGTAGTACTGATTGTACAGTACAGTAAGTAAAAGTTCCATGTTTAGATAAAGATGTTAGTATTCAATGACAAAACTATAATGTTGTTGAACATATCGAGGGGTCGTTGGTTGCACTGTTGAGTAAAAATGTTACCCCTCATAAAATTGAACTGTTTCTATTTTTTATTAAAAAGCTATGAATATTAATTTATATATTATAGAAATATTAGTATTTCTAACCATCCTAGCTTTAATTTAGAAGTTTGCATAACATTAACTTACATACAGAATACAATTGTCACAAAATATATTTTTTCTTTTCTTAATATTAAGACACTATTTTAGGTGACCTTGTGACTTGAAAGTATGTCTCTTGTGTCTTAGACAGGCTTCTTTTCACATCTCTATTGATTTTTTTCTATGCAGATGACACCCAATTGTATGTATCGGTACGGCCAGATGACCCAAACCCCTTAATTAAAATCCAAGATTGTCTTAGAGACATTCTGACATGGATGACCCAGAATTTTCTAATGCTTAACACAGAAAAAACTGAGGTCATAGTTTTAGGGCCTAAACATATAAGAGCACCATTGTCAAATCTAACTATAACCATAGGTAGTTCTACCCCAGTCCCCTGTGGTAAAGCAAGGAACCTGGGTGTCCTGTTTGATCAGGATTTATCACTACAAAAACATATTAACCAAACCTGTAGAACAGCCTTCTACCACCTACGTAACATTAAATCCATTAGAAAAATGTTATCACGACCAGATTCTGAAAAACTAATCCATGCCTTTATAACCTCCAGGCTGGATTATTGCAATTCGCTACTATCAGGATGTCCCAATAAGTCCTTAAGAAGCCTTCAACTGGTCCAGAATGCGGCAGCACGCATACTGACCGGAACTAGAAGACGAGAACATATAACCCCCGTCTTGGCTTCAATACACTGGCTCCCAGTAAAAAGTAGAATAGACTTTAAAATACTTTTAATCACATACAAGGCCCTAAATAATCAAGCCCCATTATACATTTGTGATTTAATTACCCCATACAAACCAAATAGATCACTGCGCTCCCAAAATTCGAATCTATTGGTCATCCCTAAAATAAATAAAAATAGAACGGGTGGTAGAACTTTTAGTTACCAGGCTCCTCTCCTGTGGAACCAGCTCCCACTCTCAGTAAGAGAGTCAGATTCTGTCTCGTCCTTTAAAGTGAGACTCAAAACCCATTTGTATAGTATAGCCTATAGCCTAAATTAGATTAAACATGCCCCGACTAGAACAGTCTAAAAAGATGCTGCTATAGGCCTAGACTGCTGGGGGGCATTGCATTGCATTGCATTTCATTTCATTTCACTTCATCTTGCACTTATAATGAGGACACAGACTCTACGGTCTTACTTTATTCTTCTGTCCTGTCCTATATTCATACCGACCACCATGTATACACTTAGGAAACTGGTCCCACTCTTTTACAGTTCTGCTGCCACCGGTGAACAGGAGGAGCACAGGACTACTGCCACTACCACTACTGCAGCTTTTTTTTCTTCATTGGTTTTTATGTATTTGTACAATGTATGTTCTGATAACATCTATTGCACGTCTGTCCGTCCAGGGAGTGGATCCGTCACCTGTGGTTCTCCCTAAGGTTTCTACCTTTCTCTTTTCTCCCTGTTGAAAGGGTTTCTCTTTCGGTAGTTTTTCCTTACCCTGGCTGACGGTCTAAGGACAGAGGATGTTACCAACCCTGTGAAGCCCCATGTGACAAACTGTATTTTGTAAATGTGGGCTATATAAATAAAATTTGATTTGATTTGATTTAGAACCTAGTACTATCAAACTTTAAGAGTGGTAGAATTGTAAGGCAAATTGACTTGACTGAATGTTTCTTTCTTTTATTTCTTTGTGGGACAATTAATGCGCCTCTCCTTTTCTAAAGATGTTCAATTTAAAAAAGGAATGATGGGGTTGTTGTAGCAGTTGCTTATTTTGACCTCAGTGTCAGATTGAAATTTAAAGTAGGCCAATCGATGGTTAAGGAATAAATGGAACCTCAGAAATGTTGGATGAAGCTCATATTTCATTTTTCTGTCCACCTCTCCCGTTGGCTTCTGTGTCCTTCTATTTCACCAGTGGGGTTTTTTCTGTTTCTTTTTCTCCTCCACAGTTCACTGAGCTCCTGAGGAGTCCTTCGCTGGCTTCTCCACAGCTCACTTTTCAGCCTCTACTTCAGCCTCCTCCTTTGCGTGAAGGTAACCTGCGGGCATACTAAATAGGCTGAAAGCTTCGGAGTAGACACGCGGATACTTCACTGATCAGGTGTTGTTAAAGCATCTGGAGAAAATATTATGCAGAAGGGGCATGTAAATGGGTGTGTTTAAGGAGCATTCAATTTGATTGTCTGACAATCATCATCATGAGCACATTAGTGTCATTGTATTATAACACTATATATTTATGGTTTGACTATTTATGATTAGTCTGTGATTAATCATAATCAACCACAGCTGCTCTAATCAAAACATTTTAATAGTTTTACAACCACAGTTTAGTTTTTTCATGTATATCTTTGCCTACAGTTAGTGTTTTTCTTACTTGTTTCTGTCTTTTTTTTCTCCTTCACAGTTCACTGAGCTCCTGAGGAGTCCTGTGTTGTCTTCTGGCATTTTCAAGCTTACAGCTTGCTTTTCAGCCTATGTCAGCCTCCTCCTCCCCCTTCTACTTTGTGTGAAGATAACCTGTGAGCATTACTAGATGGACTGAGAGCTTCAGGGCAGACATGCTAGTCCTTTACTGATCTGATGTCGTTGGAGGGTAAAGGTTATGCAGAGGGGGTTTGTGAATGACGGATTTGTTTTAGCTCAGCTTAATGTTTCAACACAAAATAATAATTGTCATTATGGGAATTAAAAGTCAACTGCAAAGGCTCCAGAAAATGTTATCAAAGCAGACTGTTTTTCTGGAATTTACCATAAGTTTCTGATTTGTTTATATCACCTGCTTACAAAACTAGGAACTAAGGCTTCCAACTTATAACTCCAACAGTTTCAGCCCTGTGACTTTATCTTTCACTTTCGGCTGGTTTTGTTTGATGACTTTTATTTTTTGTTTTGCACAGATCACTGCTGTTCCAGCCAGTGAAAAAGCCATGCTTATGTGGTTCCCTAATGGCAGTATCACAACCACCATCGCCTCAATCCAATCACAGATGATGTTTGTTGTGGCCCTGGCTGTGTTGCTGTGTCCTTTGGACTTTGTGACAGCTCAGGGAGAAAGCCAGAATCTGTCTCCTGCCCAGGTGTTGCAGGACCTGTTGGCCAGATATGGTGACAACACCACCATCACAGTGCCCCAGCTACGATCTTTGCTGTCCCTTCTCAGCCAGGATCAGGCTGATGGTATCAGTGGCAGCAATGTGGCTAACACAACTAACAGGACCCTACCTAAATCCAACAGCTCCAAGGTGAGAAGAATGTAATCTGCTAATTATAATTGTTTAAGTTCAACACCAAAATAGAGGTAAAACTTAATCTCACCCCTCCCACAAGTAATCGAACTGCAATTTCTTTGGATCCAATATAAAACTAGCATTTCTAGCACTCTGAAGCAGAAGGGTAATCCAGCCAGAGTCATGGCATCCAGATAGCTGAAATATTTAGCATAGCTTCCACAGTTAAGTCCTTTTTCCTAGTATTTCCAGCTCTTTTGGTCACTGCATCACACATAAAATGTCTAACATTTTCAAATTAAAATCGATCACAGAAAATAACTTGTTTAACTAGCCTTAATGCTGTGCTTGTACATCTGGTTTTGTTTTTGTTCTGGTTTTGTAAAATTTAATTAAAAGTGCTCTTGAGGACCTTGTCTCCCCACACATGTTGGGTGTAGTCATGAGTCACTGGAATGGCTGCTGTCATCCTTGGAAATCTTTCTTATGTCACGATCGATTTTGACACCTAGCCATTTTCAGTCATTATATATGATAGATGTGCTGTACCTGTCAGACCTACATTTTCAGCGAGTCTCTCCTTGTGCATTTGCTTCTTATCATCACACCTGGTACTGAAAGACTTTTACTTAGTGATTAAAATGATAATTACTCTTATCTAAATTTTAAACCCCTTTTCAGGGTATGTTAGTACAGTATTATTGTACTATTGTTATTTAGTTTGTGTGCAAAAACCAATTGACATACAATTTTGACACACAATTTGGATTCTTCCATAGATTTGTACTTTTAATTACCAATTTATAACTAAGTGAAGTTATGACCAGTAGTAGGTCTATTTATCATCTATCAAAAATTTCATTTTTATTGTATGTTTTATGCATCATCCATGTCAATGTTATTATTATTTTGTTTGGGTGTTTTTGTGTGTGGTAGTGCTTTTTCTATAATGCATTTTGTGTTATTCTGTTGTTCAAAGTTAGAAAGGTCATACTGACAAAGGGGCTACTTCTCATTTCCAGTGCTTGCCCTCGGACACATTGGCTATTTACAGCATAAGTGAGCAGTCACGGCTGGACGGACAAGGTTTGCAGGAGCTTTGTCCAACCATGCTGCAGCAGCTTGGTGCTGGTACCTGCAGGATGCAGACAGATAAGATGTCGAGCAGCGACACCTCCCCCAGGCCCTCAGATGCTGAAGGTGAGGACTAACTTGCTACCCATTTGGTTTTAGATTTATATACAGAACTAAACTGTCCAAAATATTATCCTGCTGCATATTAGCTGTGGTATGAAGGACAGTTAAGGCCAATTCAAAACAAAATAAGCACAAATATGTCAGAACCAAGGCTTACTTACAACAAAACATCCCTTGTACTTCACAGTCAGCAAAACTAGTGCGTAGCAGAGATCTTGTTGACAAATATAATTTGAGCAGAGGGAAATCTGATCCTTTGTAACTCCATACAATCAGTGTCCTTGAAAGATCAAGAAACTATCTTGTCAGCAAACTAAAGGATCAAATGTTCTATGTGTATTGGCCTTTTTGTGTTTCCACTTCCTCTCGTAACCCCTACCCCGGATAAATAATCATAGGCCAATTATTTGTAGCATTAATAAAATGCTAAAGAATTGTAATCTTTATATACTGTATTTTCCGGACTATAGCGTGCACCTGAATGTAAGCCACACCCACTATTTAAAAAAAAATATATATAAATTTACACATATAAGCCGCACCGGACTATAAGCCACCGATATCCAGGTTGAGGAATGACATATTTACCGGATACACAGGAACACAGAAAGATTTTGTACCGTAAATGTTTATTTATATACCTGAACTGATTGTTTCCAACAGTGCCTGTAACACGGCAGTAAAAGTGCCGATCGAACAAAACAGAAAAGTAATTGATGGCTTTATTCATCTTCCTCCTGTACACTGAAACCGCTGAAGTCGTCTTCTTCAGTGTCGGAGTTGACCAGCCTCAGAAAAACTTCGTCACATACCGTTTTAGTCTCTATGTCAGTGTTGCTCTCCGTGTCACTGTCATCCCGAGGTAAAGTTGCCTCTGAAGGTGCGCTGCTCTCTTCTTCCCGCTGCCGTCTCCAACGTCTCACCATGGATTCATTAACGCCAAGCTTACGTGCAGCAGCCCTAAAATTCATGGTTTAGTTGTTTTGCTCTGGCCTCACTAGTCTGGCACCCACAGTTCTGTCTTTTTAAAAGTACTTTATCTAGTTCTTGTAAGTTAAGTTCGTTGCAGGCTCTCATTCATTTCTACTGCCCTCAGCCTACCTCACACTTGCTGCTTATTTTGGCTTGATAAGGTTTTTGTTTCTCTGCAGGGAACCAAATGTCAAGGAGGTTTGTCTGTAAAGCTGATCCCACACTCATGTAAATGGCAGAAATTATTCGGAGAGATTAGCAGAAATTATAAGCACTTTTAAATTGCATTTTAGTGTTTGTTGCCTAACAGCCTGTGTAAATCAGTGGTTCTCAAGTTAGGGTATGCATACCACTGTTGGTACTTGGACTCCCTCTAGTGTTAGTGGTTAATCTCTTAGATGTTCAATACAGCTTTGGTATATATTCTCACTTCCCCTGTCTGTGTATATATATAAATATATATACGTTTAGTTTTGCCATTTGACTAAAGTACTAGTTGCGGTGCTACCTAATGGGCTAATGAAAGGCTAATAGTCTTATTAGGTCCCATTACCAAATCACATCCTGACCCAAGAATTAATCATTAGATTCATCATCAGCTATGATATTGGTTTAAAGATTTTGTTATGAATTTAGGTACAACTTGACAGATACATTTGTTGCAGCAACTGTTAACATTAAGTGATTTTGAAAATGCACAGCAAGGGAGAGACACAGGGGAAAGGTAAACAGAGAGAGGTGGGGGCAGAGAGTATTGCACTATTAAGAGTATTGCACATTTTATCATGGAACTATACATTTAACATTGGAGGGAACTGCACATTGACCGACAGTGAATCATTATGGCAGCGGCATGAGTCATATTGTACTTATTTATATTGCACAGTATTGCTTTGATAAGGTGTTTGTTAATTTACACAGTATTTTTGATTTGCCATCATTCTAACTGTGGCTGGGAAAAAGCTGTTAAAGAAGCTAGTTCTATGGTTCTTTATACTGTCTGCTCTGCTGTGTCTCAGGTTGTATGTGCTGCGTTTGTGTCTGAGCAGAGAGTGAGCGGGGTGGGTCTCTGATGATCCCCTCTGCTCTTTTTCGACAACGCTGGGTGTACATGTTCTCCATGGAAGGAAGTTTTGTTCCGATTATCCTCTCTGCAGTTTTTATTACTCTTAGCAGAGCCTTCCTCTCTGCCTGTGTGGTGTTCCCATACCAGACAGTGATGCCTGTGGTGAGAATGCTCTCTATCAGTCCTCTGTAGGCGTTGGTGAGAGGTAGGTGGTTCAGGCCGGCTTTCCTGAGCAGTCTGATGAAGTGGAGCCTTTTCTGGCCTTTTTTTTTACCGTGGCTGTGGTGTTTTGAGTCTAGCTCAGGTGAGATGTAACCTGCAGTCCCAGGAATCTGTGGTTCTCTGCCCTCTCCACCTCAGTCCCTCTGATGAGAAGAGGGTCTGTGCTGCTGTGACTCATCTTTCACTGTGGCTCAGAGCAGGCTTGCTGTGCAGATTCTACATGTACAGTAGATCTGTGTTTTACATGTTGAAGAAAGAACTAGGCTTAATCAAAAGTCCCAATGCCAAATCAAATCCATCCATCCATCCATCATCAACCGCTTATCCGGGGCCGGGTCGCAGGGGCAACAATCTGAGCAGGGACACCCAGACTTCCCTCTCCCTCGACACTTCCTCCAGCTCTTCTGGGGGGACCCCAAGGCGTTCCCAGGCCAGCCGAGCCAAATCAAATCCTGATCAAAGAATCAACCACAAGATGCTCCATTAGCCATGATATTCGTTTTAAGATTTTGCTAAGAGTTTAAGTACAGATTTTTTTTTTTTGCGGCAACCGTTAACAGTTACTGAAGATTTTGAAAATGCACAGCAACCCTTGTGACTGGGAGTTTGGAACATGAATAAAAAGTTTTGATTAGCCACACTTTTTTTCACATTCAATCACTTAACTTTACAAATGACACATCATTGATCAAGGAATCACATCTACATTTAAACTACTGCTGCTGCTTTCAAATTAATCAGTGCCAGAATGTGTCTAAGTGAAGAGAGCGTAAACAGCCTCACTCTCCAGACATGTATCAATCATCAATGCATCAATAAAGTGCTCCATCGCAGATTTAAAAACAACACAGGAAAGTCTGACAGAAAGGAGAACTGATGCTCCTAACTTCAGCATATTCTTAAGAAAAATGACGCACAAAAACAGTTTCTGATCTGCTGCTCGGTTTCCCAAATGCACTATAATCCACTGACGAACCTTATGACTGGAACACAAACTGAAACCTGAAGCCTGTCATTACAAAATGTAATAGAGAGACAGATGGATATAGTTTGCATATTGACATATGTTGAGATAAGAAGAAAGAATTCCAAACTTACTAATTGAGCTATAGAAAAAACAGGTGAAAATTTTATAAAGTTTTATAAAAACATTACTATTTTATATTGGTAGGCAGGTGATAGGCGGCTAGGCTTGACAATGTAGGGGGCAGTGTTAATTTTGACAACCAACTTTGATTTGGTCTCCGACTTTTGACTACAGTGCCAGTGTGTATGATTTTCATTGACTGAAATTAAATTAAAAATTTTCCTTTAAATAATTACAGCTACCTTACATGTACACATCCACAGATATACAGTTTATATAAATTAAAACAAGGACAGAAATGGCAAGGTGATCTTATAGTTAGTTTTATTTATACGCTGTTACCATCCCATCTTCTTTGAATTATTAACGTGTATTTTTAGTGTGAATAAAATGTTGTCAAGAGGCAACCGTGACTTTTACTTAATTAAGCCTCAAAAAAAAAAAACCTTTGTATGTCAGCAGATGACACTTCAAATTTGCCCTCTCCTTTCCTGAGTCAATTGTTTTACACGGTATACAGTATGTGTTGTTTTCTCTGACATTAAAAAAAGTTTTGGTCACGCGTGCACAAGAATATCCCCACTTTTGGCTTAAACGCTTCCTAGTGTGTTTCCCGCTATCGCCAGATGTACGTTCGCTTCGATTAGCTGCCCTGCTCAAAATCGCAAAGTTTTCTCTGATTGGAATCAGGGCTTTGGTTTGTTGCGTAAAAAAAAGAAAGGAAAGGAAAGTAAAGTGAACTCCTTGTGAATGTGACACACACCACTGCACACAATGAAATGTGACCTCTGCATTTAACCCATCACCAAAGTGAACAGTGGGCAGCTTTGAGCTGCCCAGGGAGCAGTGTGTGGGGACAGTGCCATGCTCAGAGCACCTCAGTGGTAACTTGGCAGCTCGTGGATTCGAACCTGAAACCTTCCAGACCCAAGTCCGCTTTCTTAACCACTAAGCCACCACTGCAAAGGCGAGACAAGCCAACCGAGATCCAATCGAAAGGAATGTTCCACCCATTTACGCGAGAAAACCAAACTTGATTGGAAGTCGTCACTGCCTGATATTTTTTGTGTTGTTTTTAATCTGTCAAATAATTTGTCGACGCGATATTAACGCATTTTCAAGGGACGAGGGTCAACGTTAAAATTAGCAACTATGCAGGGCCATTTGTACAACAAAATGATGACAAAAATGTAACAAGCCAGTTAAATGTCTTTTTCTGACACAATTGATGAGATTATTTATAGACACCAGTGACTACATTTTCATAAATGTGTTGACATTTATTAAAATATTCTAGAAATTTTTACTGTCTTTTTTTTATAAAATCAGGTTTAGCTAGTGTATTTTAGACAAACAATCTAAAAAATCATTTTATGTAAATTAGGTTTCCTTTTACGTTTACAGCAATAAATCAAAACGTAGGGTTTTTTGTGCTGTCATTTCCAAACCACTAAATGATGCCTACCCAACATGCTAAACAGATCTTTCAAAAATATGCCAGAGAGTAATGTTTTGACTTGACTTTGAATAGAAGGAACTAACCTTGTCTTCCTTTCTCCGTGTAGGGCTTTGGATTTGACCCCATGGTGGATTTTTATGTATCAAAATCTGCAGTGGTGTTTGGAGGCTTTTACCTTTTCTTCTTCACTGAAAAGGTCGTGAAAGTGCTTCTCAAACGGAAACATGGGGTAAGTACACATTTCTACCCTGTGACACCAACAAATAGAAGCATTATTAACTATCAGCTCTGAACATTAGATGGTCAGGTGTCTTGTTGTTTACAAAAATCCATTGGAAGTGGGTTTACATTTGTACCACAGTACTTACTTAAGAGGCTTATTTCAAGGCTAGGATATATTTAGCTTAAGATGGCTCCTACTTTTTTGAATGCATAATTTTACACATTTTGAAGGGTGGAAAATAGTCCAAGTCCTTTGTCTGTGTGTGTGCACATAATCTAGGTTTGTACTACCTGTGTGTTCAGTAATTATCAGTCACATAATTGTATTCATTTACATATTGTCACTTTTAAAATGTTTCCACTAGTTCTTATACAGCTACATTAAGTACATTGATATAAATGGTTGTTTCCCTCTGTTTTTCAGAGCCACGGCCAGAGTCAATTTCCAAGTGCACCTGAGAGGGACTTGGAGGATGGTGAGAAGGAGAAGCTCCAGCAGAATGGAGAAGCAAATAGTCTGCCTGTCAGCAAGGTGGATGCAGGAGAGGGTGAACTCATGCTCAGTCCTGCACAGACACCTCAGGTACAGATGGGAAAGGAGACGATTAAAATTGTAACGTTAATATTGTAACTTTAAGACATAGAGAAAACTTTCATTTTTGAAATATGAGTATTATATTTTCTCCCCTTAACTCCAGCATTTTATTTAAAAAAACGTGCATGTTGTTCCTCCATCCATCATCTCTGTAGGACTCTCAGAGCACAGATGGCGGGGGGCGATCTGGAGGCAGAGGCTGCTATTGGTTAAAGGGGACCAATTATTCAGACATCAGTACGCTGGCGTGGATGATCACATTAAGTGATGGTCTGCATAACTTTATCGATGGTCTGGCCATTGGGGCTTCCTTTACAGCCTCTGTCTTTCAGGGCATCAGCACCTCTGTGACCATCCTGTGTGAGGAGTTCCCCCATGAGCTGGGTAAGAAGAAGAAAACTGTTTTCACATATAATTGATAACATTGATAAAATAATATGTTTTTTGGGTGAAAAATCATCACAATTAGAAGTTTTGTCAACTTTTTTTTTAATCCAATGAAATGTCTTGAAAGGGGCAGTGGTGGCTTAGTGGTTAAGGAAGTGGACTTGGGTCCGGAAGGCATCAGGTTTGAGTCCACCAGCTGCCAAGTTACCACTGAGGTGCTCTGAGCAAGACACTGTTCCCCTTGCGCTTAAAGCTACCCACTGTTCACTTTGGTGATAGGTTAAAAGCAGAGGTCACATTTTGTTGTGTGCAGTGGTGTGCTGTGTCGCAGTAGTTCACTTTCCACTTTCCTTTCTTTGTCTTTGTTTGTCATCCAGGGGACTTTGTGATTCTTATGAACGCTGGCATGAGCAGCAGGCTCTATTCTTTAACTTCCTATCAGCCTGTTGTTGTTACCTGGGTATGGGTTTTGGCATTTTGGCCAGAAACAGCTTTTCCCCAAACTGGATCTTCGCACTTGCAGGAGGAATGTTTCTCTATATTGCTTTGGCAGACATGGTAAGTAAAATATAAAAGCCATTTATGTATCAGTGTTTTATTCTATGGACTGCAGCTGAACTAAACATTACAGCTATGGCCAACAACAGTAACATACCTAACTTTGACTCATGCAACAGTGCCAGACAATAGTCAGACAAGATTCTGCTGTAGGATCAACAACTATTTCCGTTATAACAGCTATTTTTGGTTGTGCAGGATACGCCCTTTGAAGCTGTGGTGTATTTCACTAAATAACACACAGTAGACAGACAGCACTCCTGCTGCACGTTCGTTCTTTACTCTGCTCAAACAAGAATTGAATACAGATATCCCAGCATTCCCTAGCTAGGCTGAGACGATTGGGCTACGGCACAACCAAGTTACCAAAATACTTAAATTCAAAAGTTTAATACATCACATCACCCCCCTTTTTAAATGAAAGTACTCTTTTGCTACACTAATATAAACTTAATAAATCAGTGCATTATTACTCAAACCAGAAAGTGTAACAGATGTCAATGTAACAAACATCTTTTTTTTTTTTTTTACACTGTGCTAGAACAGTGTTAATTAAAAACAGTCCATTTGACCCTTAGTCCAATAATGAACCTAATTAGCAAAAATAACTGATCTGGATGTTAAGGGTCATAGCCCTCAGGAGGCTTCCTCTCTCTGGCTGAGCGACGTAAGTTTTGAGATGCAGTTGGCACCTCATCACTGTCCCTGTGCACATCATCTGCTGACATGTCCTGGATCACACTGTCACATATGTCTGTTCAGAAACAAGTCTGCGGGCGACTGGCCTGTAGTGCAATTTGGAGTACAGCGGTACTGCATCAGGAACACAGAGATCTTGTCCTCCAAGCTTTTTAATTACACTTCTGTCTGCACATACCTTTCGTCGAGACCATTACTGGCAGGGTGACCAGGGGCGCTGGTCGAGTGCAGAATTCCATTTTGCCACATGAAGGTCTTAAATTCTTCAGACGTGAATTGCGTTCCGTTGTCCGTGACAACGTGCTCAGGAAGACCATATGCTGCAAACAGTCTCCGTAATCTTGTGACGGTGGCTTGCGAAGTGATGTTGGGCATTCTGAACACCTCCAGCGACTTGGAGTATGCATCCACCACTATCATTAAAGAGTGACCTAAGAATGGACCGGCAATGTCTATGTGTAGTCTTTTCCAGCTCTGGCCCGGAAACTCCCTTGGGTGAAATAGCACCTGTCGAGGCATCCGCTGTTCCATCTCAAGGTATCTGGCAATACTCACAAGCTTTGCAGACCTGCTCTAGATCTACATCAATCTTAGGCTGCCACACATACTTGCGTGCAAGGGCTTTCATCTTTACAACACACTGGTGACCAGAATGCAACTCTTCTAACACAATTTTCCTTTGTTTCTCAGGTATCACTACCTGGGTGCCCCAAAAGACACATCCACACTCAACAGACAGTTTACATCTGCACGTGTGGAAGGCTTTCAGGCTTGTATCCACGTCATTAGGCCAACCATTCACGATGAACTTCAGAACCTTTGACAGCGTGTTGTCTGTATATGTACTGTAGCGCGCACTACTTGGTCAGCGTTCAATGGTGCCTGCTCTAGATGTTGCATTAGCAGTGCGTGAATGCTCTCAGATATGGCTGCTGTCCCTGCATCGCTTGTTTCCGGCAAGGGAACTCTCGGAAGTCCATCTGCATTGCTGTCTTTTCCTGATGCACAGTACTAAATTGTATAATCATAAGCAGACAGTATAATTGCCCATCTTTGAATTTTAGCTGCAGCCATAGTGGGTAGACATTTGTGCTCTCCAAAAAGAGTCAGCAGGGGCTTATGATCAGTCACTAGTTTAAATTCCCTTCCCCATAAATACTGGTGAAACTTTTTAACACCAAATATCAATGACAGTCCCTTTTATTCAATTTGAGAATAGTTTTTCTCAGCAGGGGCCAGCGTCTGTGACGAATATGCAATCGGCCTCTTTTCTCCTGATGGCATTTCATGTTGAATGACAGCCCCTATGCCATAAGCTGATGAATCGCAAGCCAGTGTAAGAGGTACGTCTGGATGATAGTGTACCAGAACCTTGTCATTCGTTAACAACTTCTTGCACTGTTCAAAAGCCTTTTGCTCAGGTCTCTTCCACTCGCACTCTACCTGATCTTTCAACAGTCTGTAGAGCGGAGCTAGCACTGTGCTTTGGTTTGGCATGAATCGTCCATAGTAATTCACTAGCCCCAAAAAAGCTCTCAGCTCTTTCACAGATGAGGGCGCTGGTGCATCCTTGATTGCCTTTACCTTGTCTGGAGACAGAATGCCTTGGCTGTTCAATACATGACCCAGATATTCAATCTGCTTTTTCCCAAACTCACATTTCGATTTCTTCACCTTCAAGCCACATTCTTGGAGTCTCTGTAACACCTTTTGCAAATGGTCATGTTCAGTTTTTCCAGTTATTAGCAAGTAATCTAAATAAACAACTACATCCAGATCTTTCATGGGGTTCTCCGTGATGTGTTGGAAAATGGAGGGGGCAGAGCTAACTCCAAAAGCTAGCCTATTATACATGAATAGACCTCGATGTGTGTTGATGGTCAGTAGCTTCTTTGACTCATCCTCCAGAAGGACTTGCTGATACGCTGAGGCAAGGTCAGTCTTTGAGAATATTTTCCCTCCACTTTAGAGTGGCCATCAGCTCCTCAATTCAAGGTAGGGGGTCTCTGTAGTGGCAGCTTGATTGACAGTAAATTTGTAATTTCCGAACAAGCGAATTGTGTTGTCTCTTTTTACTACAGGTACCACCGGTGCAGCCCACTCGCTGTGTTTAACCGGTGTGATTATGCCTGCCTTCTCCAGTCGGTCAAGTTCAGCATCCACCCTAGCCTTCTAGGCCATGAAAGATTCTTGTTATATTTCAATCTGGGTCACAGCACCAGTTTTAAAGATTATTGGTATAATCAATCCGGTTCACGGCTCAGTTGAACGATTTGGCCCTTCGTTCTTGAGCACAACACCAGTTGGAGGATTTTCTTGGTGATTTCCCGGTGATTTATTGTCCAGTCCATTCTTTCCACCTGCCCGGAGGGTTGTGGATGATGCAAACATTGGCAGTAGTCCTCACACCCAGCATGGGTGTTTTGCAAGATGGATTTCATCGTCATCATCATCATCATCGGGATTGTCATCATACGCTTAGTGCATCTGGCAGGTGTTGGTCTCATCTCACATCCTGTTGCCTCCTTGTGTTTTTGTCTGTAACAAACACAAGAGAAGCATGGCAGTACACATTCATCCACAAACATTTGCATTTCTATTTGCATTTCAATCCCTGAAAGAGATTTTTCTTCAGCA